TAGGAATAAGTAAAAAGAAAAAGGGAGAGTAGATTGATATGGATGGCATTGGCGACATTGGAAAATGGCGATTATTGCTGCGTCCCGGCCCTTACTTTCAACCATTCTTTCCCATCTCCATCCTCAGCCACCCAAGATGAAATAATCGAGGGAGGAAGAGGAAAATGAAGGTATTTCCAATTTCCGAAACCAATTAGCAAATGCAAAGGAAAAGGCATATAGGCACAGGCATAGGTGAGGCAGCCTCCAGCTGAGTTTTGCTGAAAATGGTTAAGCACAAAAGGAAACCAGGTTTTTGCTTCTCTTGATCTGCAATTTCCATAGGCTGCAGCAGCAGTAGCACACTCGCACAGCTATATGGGTAACATAACATTTAACAACAGCCATTTTTAATTTGGACCACTCCCATGCAAGATTCCATTCCACTTATTGCTCCCTGCACTCCCCAGTCTCAGTCACATTTAATTAAATCACCATTATTACTTCATATAGTATCTTCAATTGAATAAATAACTAAACCACCATCATTTAGCTCTTCCCTGCTCCAAAAGTATCACTACATCGCGCCCAAGTTTATATTTTCCTCTTTGGACTTCTACCCATTACTTTCTTTTTTCTAGATAGTGTTGGATAAACCAATCACTTCCAAAGCATACCAATTCCCCCTTTTTATACATCAAAACAGAACTAACCATTTTGTATCATATGTCACTATTACCATAAATCTCTAAGATTTATGCACAAACCTCACCCAATCTTTTTTTGCTTTGGGAGATTTAACCTCCGACCTAGAGAAGGAGTTTATACTAATTAATACGGAACTTTGCTCATGTTGGCTCTCTAGACAAGTTATAGTGATCCGATTATATTATTTAAAAAAGATATATTTTAGATTATATTATTTGAATTATGATTTGAGATTATATTAGCATAAATAGGTTATTAAATTTGTACCTCAACTTGAACAATTACCCTATTTTCTCTCATTCTTCTTAAAGTTAACAATAGTGGATGACAAACTAATTACCATATTTGTAATTTTGTACACTGAAACATAATTTGCAAATATGATAAAATTATCCCTCGTGTATCATTCATCTACCATTTTTATATCATTAATATAACTTATATTGATACTTTGCATCTACATAATTGATATGCGTATCACTAATATACCATACAAATCTGGTAATAAATTTGTTGTCACTGCAAAAGCAAAAGCCCGTTTATATTTACTAAAACGGCCCGTTTAGACTAGATTTCAAGCCCAACCCAAATGCACCCCGGTCCGACACCGACTGATGACCAAAAACCCTAATTCCCTCGCCCAATATATACCGTACACAGAGCAGTGGTGATCTCGTTTGCGCTCATTTCGCTCCAAATAGTATCTGGTATGTCGCTTCTCCAGTATCTTTATCTCTCCCCATCGTTTTCGATTGCCTTCTAATCGTTTTATTCACAGGTCGTCGTTGTATATAGGGCGCTAACCATGTCTACCAGTGAGCTTGCTTGCGCTTACGCCGCCATGGCTCTTTACGACGATGGAATTGCAATCACTGTATGAATGACCTCTCGTCCGTTTTATTTTTGTTTAACTGCCTAATGCATTACTAATCTGAAAATTGGATTTAGGCGGAGAAGATTGCAGCCGTAGTTGCAGCCGCGGGGCTCTGTGTGGAATCTTACTGGCCCAGCCTCTTTGCAAAGTTGGCGGAGAAGAGGAATATCGGCGACCTTCTTCTCAACGTTGGTTGTGGTGGTGGCGCTGCGGCTCCCGTGTCTGTAGCCGCTCCTGCTGGTGGTGCTGCTGCCTCTGCCGCCGCTCCTGCCGTTGAGGAAAAGAAGGTACGATTGTGAATGTTATTTCTTGTTATTGTTATAATTTAGCAACAGCTTTGTTAGAATTATTTCGTTCTTTTACAACGTAAGTTTGTTTCAGCTTCTCTTTGGACTTCTCTAAGATCTAACAATAACGATCAAACTCGTACTTTTACAATTTATATTCGCCATGTAACATTGACATTGGTAGTTCATTTAGCATTAATCTTGCTTGTCGCAATTTCGTTTCCTTGGCCACTTGCGATTTGTTGTTTATTTGAGCGTGTTTTTGCAGGAAGAGCCGAAAGAGGAGAGCGATGACGACATGGGATTCAGCTTATTCGATTAGGAGGCTCTTGTGTCTCTCATTGGATTGCATTAGGAAATTTTTGGGTGGTAGCCTTATTGGATTTTACTTTAGACTTTTAGAACCTTGATTGTTTTCTGTTCAATTGTCGAAGTTTTTTGTTTTATTTTTTTAATTGGCAGGGAGTTTCTTGTTTTCTTTTGTTTAAGTTGCGAGGGAAAATGGATGTTTCCACACATTTGTTTGATTTACTTTACAATGCAGTGAGTTTAAACCTTACGATAAGTAGAACCATGGTTTCTCTGTTTTTGAGTTTCAGGTTACTTGCGAAATCGTACTGCTTTATTTCGTACCTGTGTCCCATCCTATTATGTGGTTGAAATATGAAAGTGGATGGAAATGCGTTAGATATTATGAACTTCTTGATTTCAACCGTGGGAATGTTTAGGTTAAAAGTCTTCACCCTCATATTCTTCTGTTGCAATATAATTTTTGTAGCGCAGGGACGTAACAGTAATGATTGATTTAAAAAGGTTTGTTAAGAATGTGAGTAGGAAACAAGTCATGCATGCAACAATACCAAATGAGTGAGATGGTTAAGTATTTTTATGAATCTTAGGTGGGGTCGAGTATGTGCGAGTGCATTGAACTCAATCGTAATGTTGTTGGAGTGTCGGGATCAGAACAAGAACGAGATTATTATAGATAAAAAAGATGAAATATAATGATATTATTATTATTATTGTAAATTGGTTGTTTCAAATGGATGGGCTTAAACGTGGAGTGGGGGGCAGGGCACGTAGTCGACGTTGGGGGGCGTCCAAACTACAGACCAGAATGACCGACCTGGGCATATCCTGACCGTCCATACAAGTTCGAAGCTTCTCCTCGCTTCAACTTCACGCCACGCCACCAACAGATTAATCCATCCTCATTTTCTCATCGGTTTTCAATAATATATTAAATTAACGATCATGATGAAGATGATCCGTTTATTTGGTTCCGGCGGTGAGACGATGGAGATGAAATCGAAGAGCGAGCAGGGCGTGAAGAAGAGTAAGGGCAAGGTAAGGTTGGCGCCGGAGTTGGATGGCCTTCACTGCTTTGAAACCATTTTCTACTTTTAGTATTCCTTTTACTTATCCTCGTCTGCCCCTGTAAACTTATAAGTACATGTATGATCATCAACAAAGATCACAAAACATTAGATTAGATTAGATTGTGATTATTATTATCTTATAATGTAGGGGTGAAATTCGAAGTTTTAATACTCGAGTTAAAATCGTAATTGTTCTTAATTCTAAAGCCCGGCGGCTAAATATGACGCCGTCGGCGTCGCTGGTGTTCCCTGTAACCATTTCATTAGAAGCAATCAAATGGGGGCACGTGGAAATTATTTATTATTTATTTATCGGCTTAAGCGTGCGTGGTGGGTAGTGGTAGTAGCGAAGCCATAATCGTGGAAATTGGGTGCAGACGGGGAGAGACACCGCAGCGCAGCGCACCGGTGTTCTCCAGCGAATCCGAATCTGAATCCGTTGTATTTGCAATTGGAATTGGCGATGCTTTGTTCGGGCGGTCCCAACTCCAACTGGCTGGACCGGCTCCGTTCAAACAAGGGTTTTCCGATCGGCGACGACCTTGGCCTCGATCACTTCCTCACTCGCCAAGACCTTCATAATCATAATCGTAATCATAATCCCAATCCCTGCCCCGATCCCGATTCCTTTCACTCTCAAGATGGAGATGGAGATGGAGATGGAGACGGAGATGGAGATGGCGATGGAGATGGAGATGGCGATGGAGATGGAGATGGAAACCCCAACCCAGCAGCATCATCGTACCTTCTCATTACCGGCATCCTCTCCGACCTCTTCAACGTCACTCCTCCCTCCAAATGCTGTGCCAAAAAGTTCCCCAGGAAGCAGCCCAACCCCAAGCTTTGCCCCATTATTATTCCTCCTAATGATCCCAACCAACCACAACACTTACCCAACATCCTCTCATCCAATACTTCCAACTCACCCGAGCCGCTTGAAGAGCAAGAGGCGGAGGATGATGAGACTGACAGACAACTTGTAGGATACTCCAAGACCGAGGTGACGGTCATAGATACTAGCTGCGACGTCTGGAACTCCGACAAGCTCATTTTCAGAAGAAACAATGTCTGGAAGGTCAAGGACAAGAAGGCCAAGTCCAGGAGCTACGGAAGGAAGAAGCGCAAGCTGCACTCTCCTCAAACTACGGATACCACTGCTTCCGCTAATAAGAAATCCAAACTCTGGGGTTCTCACGAGCGCTTCCATTTCACCGCCCAGCAACTCCACCCATTCGACAAAGTAAGATTCATCATTACTTTCATACTCCCTTCATTCTACTCCTGCAATTACCACATATACGTGCATTGCTGCTATTGTTTTCTTTTGGTTTTCATCATGAAATCACGATTTTTGGTCTTTATATACATGTAATCCCCACTCCCCGGACCATTCTGTTTCTACTTTCTGTTTAAGAGTTAGTTTGTCTTGTCTGCTTCCCCATATATCACTTTTGGCGTGCATTCTTAAGAAATGTTGATATCTTCAACTTCAAATACGTCTCTACTACCCTAGCTGTCAAGTGAAATATTCATAAACTATATTTGTGTACGAACGCAAGCATTACTGATAGACGAATCTTGACAGATGGAAAAATCATAAAATCAAAAAATTCCTGATAATCATTTGAGTTATTTGTTGAATAAGTTGTAAATACTTGCCATTAGTATATTCATGTTCACTTTGTATGTTTCCGTTGTGAAGGGGAAGCAACAATTTTCTTCTAGTCCCTACTTGTCATATATTGTCGTCTCAATTCAAACTGCTCAGTGTGTTTGTGGTCTTAGGTACAGTCTTACCTATGTGTTTACGAGTCCCATGCTATGCTGATATTAAATTAATAACATAATTGTATGCCTTAACATTGGACCCCAATCTGATCTTAGTCACGATTCCTATCGTTGATATCATCTTTTAACTGAGCATATCGAAGTGGAACAAGTGTTGGAGTAGCAGCTACTACATGATTTTATGATGTTCCTTCCTTCCTAAGACAGTATTTGGAAGAAGTGTTTTTGTGGGGCACTACAGAAGGTGTATCATCAACTCAGATATTGAATGCTATTCTATTTTTATAGTTGTTTAAAAACATAATGGGAGTGAATCTAATTCGATATGCACTCTTTTTGCCTGTCTTGATGAGCCTTCTGGATGAACTTGTGGCTACTTATTTCTACTGTTTAACTCTCTCTCTCTCTCTCTCTCCTTTTGATTTTTTCACCAGAAAATTGTTTATCAATTTTTGC